TCATCATCTTAATTTGAACCGATTTCAATAAAACGTTATACATGTTAATCTACAATCATTTCGGTGTTCTTTACTAAATGTCATTTCAATTAGGCTATCCTTGGGGCTTAGGTGTAACTTTCACGAAAATATATATGGAAGATATATCTAAATCTGAACCGAAACTTTATACACGTCCTCAATTTGATACGCTGTACAAAACTTCGTCTCAATCAGAAATATATTTGGTGAACTCTTGTGAAATGGGGTGAAAAAATGTATGGAAGCTTTATCTAGATCTGAACTGTTTTTCACGATTTTTTATTTACATTATACAAATCGTAAACATGTTCATTCGAACCCTTTGAGCCATACTTACAGCTTATAAATGTATGCTTCAACCGAGTTCGCATTAAGGCTACCAAAAACATAGATTTTTTTTAAATTCAAATTAAAAAATTGTAGAAAGTGTCCGAAAACATGACTTCAGAAGTTCTCTACACGATGCCATTCAAATCGGTAAGAAATCGGTCTGAAATGGCGTGAAAAAATTGATTTTTCTTTTTTACGACATGAGAGGTCCGGGATTTTTCAGTTTTTATCAAGCGATTTTCAATTAGGCGTTTCAATAGATGGCGCTATTTACGTGTTTTTGCCAGAGTTACCCTGCGTACTTTAAAATACATGTTTAATTTAGAAATATTAAGTTTTAATGCATATTTTCAGGCTCTTCGCATAACATTAAGTTGGAGAGATTTTTTGCTCTAAGTGAGGAAATGTACTGAGGAACTAGTTCCTTTATAGAGAAGGAACGAGATCGTTCCGATTCTAATTGCCTTCCATGATACTTACCCTCTTCTTCTTTTTAAACAATTAAACAAATCCATATTTTTTCTTTAATTATTTCCATTTTTAATAATTTATTAAATAATTATTTTTCGCTTTACAAAAAACTATTCTAACATTTTTTTATATAAACTTAGTTAATAACATAAAATGAGTCACAACATACATATATAAAATAGACTTAATTTATAAAAACCCAATATTTTTTCATTATTAATGTTATAATTTTTTGTTCATTTTTTAACTTAGGTTGTTCTTAAAAATTATGGCTTTTTTGTATGAGAATATTATAAAAAAACAAATATATTTTTTCGTGTATAAAAAATAAAATTAAATAAAAAAGTAGTAGTATTTAATACTATTAGTTATTAACTATTTACATGACGAAGAACAATACCTTCATACTATAAACAAATTTTAAATTATTTTTAATTTTTTTTTTTTCTTAGTTTGACCAGTTTAACAATTAATATATGAGTAACTTATTTTTGTTAAAATAGAGAAAAATTTAACATTAAAATATGTATATTTGAAAATATATAGAATGTATGTAAGTAGGAGTGTTGGAAGTATAAAAAAAGGATATAACAATAATTTTAAAGAACATATATATATGAAAATAGAAGATATGTGTAAGGATACAATGAAATATTGTTATGATGGAAACGTGAATTAATTGTGTCTCTTTAATGACAATTCCTAGCGAACATAGTAAGAACTCCTCCATTTGAATATAGTGGAGCCTTTATTAATCCTCTCCCTTCCATATTAAATGAAGATAAATAGTTTAACAGAGTGGAAATATTATTAGAAAACAATATAAAAAATAGTTAACTAAGTCCTGATTTACATTAGGCTATTTTAATTGCTTCAATTCTGTGGTAGGTGTAGGTGAGAGTGTTTAGTGTTGTTTAGTGTTGTTGTTTAGCAAACCTCCCCCTCTACCACCCACCTTGTGACAATTGTCACAAGTAAAATTGCCAAATGTAAATAACGTAAAAGTATTACATTAGGTAATGCTGTCGAAGAAAATAAAATAAATATAAAAGTGACCCCTTCATGCAGAGTATTGTAGGATTATTGAGATTTCGGATGTGAATGTGATGAGCTGGAAAATTCTACTTCATAATTGTAAGCAGACGTTTATATTCAAGATTTTTTTTTAATTGATCATTTGCGAATTTTCATTATAAACCCCTAATGGCTTATTTGAAGATATGTACAAACATCGTTAGGCACGATCAGGCCGAACTTTTTATAATCTCCATCAGGTAGTAAGGATTCGAAAATTTCTTAAAAGTTTCGGGAACTTCATCTAAACTTTCTAGAAAAATGTTTTTATTCACCAGCAATCCGTAATGCCAGAAACTGGGTCGCTCCTGTTTTTATATGTCAGAAAATGGACCAAACATCGAATATTTTGGGCAAACATATCATTCAAATTACAACCCCTTAGGTGGGGAATACTTTTAAAAACGCCGGAAAATGGGCTGATCCATTTCGAACCCAAACCCCCCTAAATACAGAATAAGGCGGATACCGTATTACAGATCCTCAGGAAGCTGGGTTAGGAACATCAACGTCCATTAACCTATATCGAAAACTATCTAGAAAAATGTTTTTGTTCACCAGGAATCCGTAATGCCAGAAAACGGGTCGCTTCCCTTTTTATATGTCAGAAAAGGGACCAACATCGAATATTTTGGGCAGACATATATTTCAAAGTACAATCACTTATGTGGTTAATATTTTTAAAAACATCCGAAAATGGACTGATCCAATTTGAACCCAAAACCCCCTAAATACGGAATAAGGCGGACACCGTTATATGGAGGCTACACTGAAACATGGATGTATTTCGGTATGGAGATTTTTTACTCAATTCGTTTGCAAACAGTGCCCAAACTCTCCAAAATACCGAAAATTGGAATGGGGCCCTTCAAAATACCGAATATTGGAGGTATGGTTATATGGGGGCTACCCCAAAATAATGGACCGATATATTAATTTTCGATACCAAAAATCCTGGGAGTAGTTGCAAAGTATGTGCAATATTGCAAGCTCTATCGTGATTTCAACAGGCGAAGGGATGGACATGGCGAAATCGACATAGAATTTTATTCTGATGAAGAAGGTCTTTGAAATATCCAACCAAATCCAACGAAAGGTGCTCGTGATAATGTTGCTAGTTCGTAATTCTGGAAAAGCCTTTGTCTACAGTATAGTCCCTGTTTTAGCCGTATCTATTATTACAATATTTTCATCCACATAACAATATTATTGCTGATACTGATTTTTTTTGATGAGGGATGACGGATTGTAAGGAATTATTGGTGTCGTTGATTCAATTTTGAGAAACTTTTCATATTAGGTTCGGGAGTGGTTGGTACAAAGGATATTGTTCCAGGATGCATATTCTGTAGCTTCGTATTTGCTGGATATATGGATATGAGCACGACCACAGGTACTGGGACTGGTTGTATATTTTGCAGAGAATTTGGGATTAGCCAAGATATTGTGGCTGCTAGCGGTATTTTTGAACCAAGTGTCGTCATGTAGCCAGTTTTCCGCTAGAGCAACGTATGGCCGTTAATTTAAATGGTACACCACCAAATCGCACATTCTATTCGCCTGATATTGGATTTATAAATAGTGAAACTGTTGACCCTTTGTGGGGGAGGTACCAGAAGGAGTGGGCCAATGGGTTCCAACTTCAAACTTGATTTAGGCTTTGTTAAGATAATAGATTGTACAATGTTTGGTTCAAATCGTATAGTCCGTGCGCATTATACAGGACTTATAAATATTGAAAATGTTGAACTTTTGTGTCGGAGGTACAAGAAGGAGTGGATCAAGAAGGGGTGGACCAATGGGTCCCATCTTCAATCCTTACCTAAGCATAGTAATAATAATAGGTTGTGCAAAGTTTGGTGCAAATCGGGCATTCCATTCGCGTGATATTGGATTTATAAATATTGAAAATGTTGACCCTTTGTGGGTCATATCGCGTGATGTTGGATTTATAAATATTGAAAATGTTGACCGTTTGTGGGGGAGGTACCCAAAGGAGTGGACCAATGGGTTCCATCTTCAAACCTGATCTAGGCTTGGTCAAGATAGTACGTTGTAAAAAGTTTGGTTCAAATAGGATAGCCCGTCCACATGATATAATAAAATACATTTTTTGCACAATGGTCTAGTGTGTGTGGTACCAGTAAGAGTGGACCGATATTCCTCATCTTCGAACTTGAATTAAGTTTGGAAGAAATAATAGACGTTCAAAGTTTGAATGGAATCGATTATTCCCTTCAAGATTTATCGTGCGCACCAGCCGGCCAGACAGATAGACAGACCGAAACTTGTAAATCGACTCCAAATTTTCTAAAAACTGATGTGGTCCAAAGAAACATGGGGTCTAAAACTAATATTTCGATGAGGCACATTTTCACCATATCAAGGTGTATATACCCTCATTAACCATAAGACTGAGGGTATAAAAATATGTAAAATGTTTGGTCCATTCATGTAGTCAGTTTTCTGCATTATAAGTTTAAAAATTTTCAAAATCTGGGGACTTTTGTGAGAGGTGTATCTGAAGGTGTGAATCGATTGCTCCCATCATTGAACATGATCTGGACTTGTTAGAAAATTTTTTAACGGTAGGAGTGGACTGGTGTTACCCATCATTGAACTTTGAAAATCGTGATTAAATCGGCTGCTCTCTAAGCTACTCATGAGTTAGCCAGAATAAAATATTGGATATATGGCCAAAAATGCAATATTTCGGGACTGGGATTATTATTATAATAGATCACGAATGAACTAGAAATATTGGTGCCCCATAGGGGTTTTAAATATAAACCATTTTCTAGGATGCAAATAGAATATTAGGTCCTGCAATTATAATATATAGCTAGAAACACAATGAAAGATTTGTGGCTTCGCATGCTTTGTTAAATGTTAAATTAGAAAGGGATTCCTAGAAAAATAATTACATTCGATATCTGCTTCTCCTTTAAGATTAGACATGAAACAAAAAGTCCCGCCCCTGCCTATACCACATCCGAAAAAATACTCACTACCAATAGGCTTTGGGGTCTCCAAAATGTACCCAAAATAGAGAATAATCCGTTCAACAACATTTCTACATTTCGTTTTCCTTACCCACTCCCCATCTACTTTCCATTCGGCGATGGCGAATTTCTGCTATCGGCATTATTATTATCATTGTTGTTCTGGTTATTTTGACTTAAATTATTGGCACGTCGAAATTTCGGCGTTAGAAAATAAACATCCGCTTCACTTTCAATATTTAGATTTGGTACTGGAATGGCAGCGGGACGATATTGATTAACGTTACGATAATAGGTATTGATTGGTGGAACAGGCTGGCGTACCACCTGAGGATGTGATATATATTCGCTGTCGGGATTAATGGGTGGTAGAGGTTGGCGATAATTCACTAGAATGTCACGGTGTAATGACACAGGTTGTGGGGATTGGAATTGGCGACTGGGAAGCCGTTGCTGGGAAAGTGAAGGAGGAGGTGGTGCATAATATTGCGATTGATGTGACAAGGCTGGTGGTGACTGCTGCTGTTGTTGCTGATAGGCCCCTAGCCTCTGTTGTTGTTGCTGCTGCTGTTGATATGTATTCACCGGTATTGTTTGATATGGATTAATGAATTCTGCTTCGGGATTTAGTGGAGGACGATTGGGTGCATAATTGACATAGGTATCATTTTCTAAACTCCAGACAGGTTGTGGTGAAAGCTGTTGTTGCTGGACAACCTGGGGAGCACTTGTTGGTGGTGCGGGTGGCCTATAATTGATAATTTTCCGATTTGGTGCATTCTGAAAGGGTTCTTCATAGAAGCGATTATTTTGCCTGGCTGGGCCATAATAGTAACCATCACGATTTCTTTGCGCTTGGGGCTGTAGAACCGCTTGTTCTTGATAACGTTCTCGTTGCCGTGGCAGATTATCTGGAGCGGTATATCTGGTTTCAAACTCCTGTTTATTTATGGCAACCCAGCGATTATATTCCACCTGCTGTTGTTGTTGCTGTTGACGGAATTGCTGCTGTTGTTGGAACTGTTGTTGTCGTTGTTGCTGATATTGATGAGTTGGTTGTAGATATTTAGCACCTGCTCGCAACTTCTTTGATCTTTCAGGTTGTTGTGGCACTGGCACCAGGGTGGTGGTACTTATATATTTCGGTTGTTGTTGTGAATAGAGGTCCTGTTCACGTCCTTCCGTCTCTTCTCGACCCTGAGGTTGCAATGCAATATTATCGGCCTTGTCTACATTGACGGCCTTAAATGAATCATCATCACCTGCGGGAGGGCTGTAAGTTACCATTGGCTGGAATGGTTCCACATCGTATTCCAATGGAGGCTGGAAGGTGTTGCGTACACCCTCTGGAGTTACAGCCTTAACGGAATCATAGCTGTAATCGTATACCGGTTTGGCCTTGGGTGTCCTGGGTATATTGTTATCCCGTAGCTCTTGATTTTGATAATAACGCAAGCTGCTGTCCCGCACATTTGTAACTTCCTGTTCGAAATTTTGCAAAGGCCTTTGTTTGTAGTAAGGTCTCTGCTTGAGTCTCACCTCAGGTTTGGGAGTTATTACCACAATATTTTCATCCACATATCGGTGATTGGACGGGACAATATTTTGTTGATACCGATTCTTATATGGCCTCTTACTGGTATTGTATAGCTTAATGGGTTTCGGTGAAGGTGTTGGATATGGTTTAACAGTGCTGGAAAGGAATTCATCGAATAGCTGTGAGGTACCTTGTTGGTGGTGTTGTCGTTTAGCCTCGAAGTATTCATAATAAATTGGATTCGACTTCGAGAAACTTTCCACATTCGGTTCGGGAGTGGTGGGTACAAAGGAAATGGTGCCAGGTCGTATATTCGGTTGTTCCACATTGGCTGGATATATGGGTATGGGTACGGCCACAGGAACCGGAACTGGTTGTATATTTTGCAATGAATTCCGATTTGGTATTGGCGAAGATGTTGTTGTTGGGGGCGGTAATCTTGAACCAATTGCCGGTGAGGCTGTGGGTGTATAGACCGGCCGCGGAGATGGACTAGCAATGTGAATAATCTTCGGTGTGTATTCGGTAATTTTCGTAATTGCATTTCGATATGGAGATTCTGTTGTGGTCGTGGTTGTTGTTGTCGTCGTTGTTGTAGTACTTGTCGTTGTTGTTGGTGGTGGCGTCGTGCTGGTGTAATATGGCCTTGGTGTTGTTGTTGTTGTGGTACTATATACCCTATACCGTATCGGTGGTGTGGAACCCCCACCGCTGACCACTGGCCTCCTTTCCTTCTCCGATTTCTCCAATTTTCCAAACTGATCTGGGGGTGGTGGCACAACAATACCCGGTACCAATGGCCCTGGTGGCACGGGGTTCGAATAATTACTCTTATAGACAAAACTATATGGCGGAGGATAATACAACGATGGATCATCCTCATCAAAATCATCAGTGGCATTATCCAGAGAACCATTGCGCCCATACAAGAATGGCCCCAAAACCGGATAATTAACCTGATTATTTATCGGTGACGCCTGATCAACAAACGTTTGGTTGTTCGCAACAAGCCAAGGGAGTGAGGGCGACGCGTAGTTGTAACCCGCGGCATCTTCGTTCTCTTTAACGCCTTTAACCGCTCCCGGCCGGGTAATAAGATTTTTCTCGTCGTCACTATCACTTTCGGGCGATGCGTTGTGGACCTCTGAGCCTGGGCTGGTATAAAGCGATAACGGTTCGTTAGCGATCGGATAGACGACCGTGAGTTTATTATTTCCGATAAGCTGTACGGGGCCATTTTCTTCGAGTTGGACAGGAAAGGGTGGCGGAACTTTGGGATTGTCGGGAATTTTAATTTGCCTACCGGCGGCATTGTAATCATCAATTGCTGGCCACGGTTCGGCAGCATTATCCTCATTCAAACTGCCACCCTTGATGACCAACAAATGATCCTCGGCCAACCAAATATCCTCCTCATTTAAACCACCATAATTACGTTCATTATCTTCGGGTACTTCTTTATTGGGTAGATAACTTAAAACTCCCGGTCTCTTTGGGGGTCTACGAAATAATTCTTTTTCAATTAGTCCATATTTACCATCCTTAACCTGATCGGCCAGGGTCTTTTTGGAGTCATCTTTATTCTTTTTCGATTTCAATGTATTCTCTTTACCCGATCCTGCACTTAGCCGTAGAATTCCATTATCCCAATTATCAAAATCTCCAGAATCATCGAGCAAGGCCTCATCATCGTCATGATAGTCGTTGTCTTCGTGGGTGGAATTGTTGGGTGTTTCCGTTGTCGTTCGGCTATCTATTCGTATATTGGCATTTAATTTATTATCTCTAAAGCTACTGCTTAGTACCCCGGCATTCTGAGATTCCAAGGAAGATGCGTCTTCCTCCTTGTGATTTACTGGCAAAATATATCTTACTCTGGTACTATTGTTCGTGTTTGAGGCTGAAGCTCGATTATCATTATTTTGTATGTGACCAGCAACTAGCCGATGAATCATACGAGGGCTGAAAAGAGATACAGTGTGAGAGAGAGAGAGAGAGAGTAAAGGAATATAATTAATAAATGGTTTATTTAAATAAATTAATTTTTTATATAAATGGTTTCATATGAATACTCTCAAGTTTACAGATTCTTCTATAAAAAAATTTGCTCTTGCATCGCATGAGTAGACGCCTTATTAGTATCACAAAATGTCACACTTTATCACTAAAATCGAAGGAATATTTTGTCAATATCTATATATATAAAAATGAATTGCTGTCCTCGCTAAAACTCGAAATTTTATAAACCTGTTGTTTTAAAAATCTTTCAAAAAAGAAAAAATATTATGAAAAAAAAATTTATGAAAAACAATATTTGAAAAGCTGAAACCTTAAAAATACCAAAATGACTGTACATTTATATGTAAACTATGTCAAAATATGGACTTATATGGATAATTTTCTGAATAGATGTATGTCAGAATCCAAAAACACGGAATGTCAATCTACAGAAACTTCTGAGGTAAAATGCGTCTACAACCTTTGAAATACCTGAAATATTATTGACATTTATATAAGGCTATGAGTTTTACCTACCAAGAATCCGAAATGTCATACTACATGTGCTTCTGTTGGAAAATATCGAATTCCTAAATGAGCTAGGACCGTTATATAGTAGCTAGCTCATAAACGAACCAATGTTCATAGATTTGTGGTTAGATATGTGTCACTTTTCAAGTACTCAAAATGCAAATAGGAAAATAGAATTTAATCATTATATGGGGACTATTTCAAAACATGGATCTATATTGAACATTTTCCACAAAGATGGTTTCACCCTGCAAGTACCTGAAATGCCAAATGTATCTCTTTCAACATACCAATAATAAAGGCGACATTTTTTGCGAGCTATGTCAAAAAATTGAATCATGTATTTTTTTCGGTGGCAAAATACTGCTAAAAGCTTCAAAATACCTGAAAAAGGGCGAGACCTTTATATGGGGGCTACGTCAAAACAAGGACATACATCGAAAAACGTCTGCCAAAATATGTTTATTTATTTTACCGTGCAAGAACCCGGAATGCGAAGTTGCGTCCAAAACTTTAAAATACCGAAAAATGGGGGAATGATTGTATGTACATATGTTTCCAAAATCTCGGAATACCAAATCACAGTCAAAATGCGGCAACAATATTTCTTAATTCTAGAAAATGCGGCATAACGTTATATGAGAGCAAAAGAATAAAATTTGAATTTTTAGAAAATTGAATCTTGTGGTCCTCTTTAACAAAAATTATGTATATATTTTTTTCAATATATTCCTGGTATTTATTTTATTATTATTCTTAAGAAATACATTACTATTTAAGGTCAAAAAGACAAAAATTATGGAATGTTGTTACAGCCTTACCTAAACTTCAACTACTGGCTCGTTCGACGTTTTTCACCACAAAAGTAGAACACATGTATTTATATGAATGTTACCGAAATACGTCGACGTACGAATTTTCAATGTTGAAAAAATTCAACTATGACAGAACGAATTTTTGTTTTTTTTATTTTTGAAAAAAAGAAACAAAACATAAAGGACATATGAAATTGTTTAATAATAATATGAAATAAATGACACATTTTATAATTTTTCAAGTTTATTTCTCGATTTTGTTTAGTCGCTAAGAGATATAGACTCGACGTATTTGTACAAAACATTTCGACATAGTGGGGAAGTTGAATATTTTTTGTACGCCTGGTTGGATTTTAGGTAACGTTGTAAGTATTGATAAAAATTATACGACCTGGAGCAACAATAGCATTAACCCGAGCTGTGCTAGCGTGACCATATGGTCACACTCATAAGACGATCAATAAATCCTCTAAAAAACCTGTACGCGAGCAGTGCTACTGTAAACATATGGCCACAGCCCAAAAGTCCTGTCGATTATCCTGATAAGAAAAAGAGATACAAATAATTTTTTTGGATTCAGTGACCCATAATCTTGAGACGCTGAAAGTTTCGTCCCAAAATTCGAAAAAAATAATTACAGCACTATTCGGGTTAAAGTTTAGTTTTTTTTTTTTGAATATAAGAATTGTTTCTGCTTCTCATTTAAACATTTCGAACCTCCTTGGGTATAAGTGTTGACATCAATAATACGCTCCAGCTTAACTTTGACATTATAACTAAAAATCATTGAGCTTGAAAAAGTTGTTCATTTGCCCTTCTGCTTAAACAAATGCGTAAAAAGGAATTATTACAGTCCTCTAAATAATAACCTTAAGACAAATATTTTACAGAATGTGGCAAGAAGTCAACGTACTACTATTTTTAATAATCGCAGATCTCTTAAAAACAGAAATGTTTGAGAGATTTTAACGCGATAAGAATTGTAGTGTTTGATCTCAAAAAACGCCATATAAAAATGAGATGTATTTCCATCGTTGCGTATACGCGTTGACGTCAATTATACGCCACAACTGATCTCAATTATTTCATTTGAGATATTTCGAAGTTTGGAAAGTTAGTCTCAAGTTGTTAAGTTTAACATAAAGTAATTAACTTTAAAAAAATTATCGGGTTACAAAAAATATTAAACATTTTGCACAAATCTGATTTCTTTGATAGGAAAAATCATTATTTTTAAAGTCAATACATGAGTTTAAGGAATTTTGAAAATTTATTTCTACTGACAAATATGGTTCTAAAACAGAACCTATGCAATATAATATTATTTGCTCTTGCAATGTTGCACCTTATTACTGAAATCAAAGGAATATTTGGTCAATATTAAGTAATCAAGAAATCAATACAATTTAGAAATTATAATATAAAGGCAATATACTATTTGTTGGTCATAGTTGCGTATGAGTTTTGCCAGCAATTATACGCCACTGTGGAACCATACAGATTTCAATAAATTGCGAATATTGTCTTATGATTGTTTTTATTTGTTTTCCAAAATTTTATTTTTGTCAGCTGAGATTATAATTATTTATTTTACCACAAAAAATGCGATATCAGATTAATATTGTACGGCTAAATATTCTGAATAATAACTGTTCTAAGGGTATGGGTAATTAGGACCACTTTGCACCATTCTGTCGTTCATATTTGTATTCACATGTAATGTTGTAATTCTTTAGTCTTGATCATTAATCGACATATTTTTAATACCATACATCCTAGGTATATAAATGATGTGTGTGAATAAAATTCTATGGGGACTCCTGCGATAAATTATAGGGTTTGCAAACCACCACACTGTGGTACATGGTATTATGTCATTGTGCATATGTTTGTAACAGGCAAAAGGAAACGAGATTGACATATGGTTCTTTTTGAGAATGTGTATAGAATTACTTTCTGAGTCGATTTATGCATGTTCGTCTGTCTGTCCGTCCATGTAGGTCGCATTTATGATCCGATTTGGATGAAAATTTGGCACATGCCACTTATTTGGCCAAGGACGAACCCTATTGAAATTGGAGAAAATCGATTGAGGTTTAAATATAGCTTCCATATATAGTTTCGACCGATTTAATGTAAATAGTGCACCAAACTCTCAATATTGGTCCGATTGAAGCAAAATTTTGCACAGAGTACTGAAATAGGTCCCATTGCGATTTTTGTTGGAATCGGTTCAGATTTAGATATAGCTCCCATATATAGTTTCGCCCGATTTTAGGTAAATGGTATGTCAAAGTCCCTATATATCTTCCGATTTGCACGAAATTTGGCCTAGCGTACTGGATTGGGTCTAGAATGATGTGTGCAAAATTTCATAAAAAAATCGGTCCAGATTTACATATAGCTCCCATATATAGGTTCGCCAGATTTTAGGTAAATGGTGCACTAATGTCCCTGAAAATTATTAGATTTGCACGAATGTTGGCATAGCGTACTGAATTAAGTCTAGAATGACGTGTGCTAAGTTTCATGAAAATCGGTTAAGATTAAGATATAGCTCTCATATATAGTTTCAACCGATTTAAGGTAAATGGTTCACCAAAGTCCCTATATATCCTTCGATTTCCATGAAATTTGGCGTGTAAAATTTCTTGAAAATCGGTTCAGATTGAGAATTAGTTCATACTGAACTAATTTAATTCATAGAAAAAATCAGTTCGTTCAGTACAACGGGGTTTCTGGGGAAATAAATTCAGTCGCTAAATAAAGGGAATTTTTTCTATACAACAAATTCAAAACTTTTTTAAGGATTTTCAATTAAAAGGTTATTTCATTAAGTTTCGAAACAGATTTTTTTTAAGTTTCTAGACTTTGAAGATTTTCTTTTTAAAAGAACTAAGTTGAAGCTCAGAGTACCAGGCTTTTTTAATGACCAAATTTATTTTTAAATTAAAAAAATATTTTTTCTATAGAAAAATATTATTTCTTATGACGTAGTCGATCTTTCGAGGCACCGTAGTGTTTCCTATAGTAAAACGTCCTCAGAGGTCGAGTTTGTTTTTTTCTCCCTGATTACTAAACAATTTTGTTTTAAACCATTCCTATCTTAACTAAAGATATTTAAATTGAATTCCAATGAAAAGCAAATAACAACAATAAATAACCCAGATTCCTTAACAAAAAATAGAATAAATTCTGGTCATCCATTTAAGACTCTTAGGAATTTTTGTTGGGCCAGACAAATTTATGACCAGCACCTCAAGATTGGCTGCTTGCCTGCTGTTGGTTCGCTCATGGGGCCGGATCGTGTCGTTAGTGACCACAATAACCGCATAACCTCATGACTCACTAAAAATAGTCATATAAAGCGCAAACTAAGAGGGCTTCAACAAAAACGATCGCTACAAATATGGCTTAAAAATAAACAAACAAACATTTCAAACGAACAGAAAAAAAATAACTGCTATGGTAATAATGGATATGCTATGCTGTGCCTTCTTAGTACAGCCGTATAAATTAACACTACACTACAACAAACACCAACAACTACAACAAAAAAATAAAATAATCCAACAATAAGAAATGACAAACTCACGTTTTTGGTGTCTGCTGATTGTGCCGAGTTGTCAATTTTATGTTGTTGGAATTGCCAGTTGGCGGTGACGGTGGCGGTGTTGTCGTTGTCGTGGTGCTTGTGGTCTTTGTAGGACCATAGTCATCCGCTGAAGAAGTGATTTTCGATGATTGTCGTCGGCCATCAAAGTGAGCCGTTGTCGACGACGATGATGATTGCAGCCTATTGTTGCTGTTTGTTGTCGTTCTAAAGCGTTGATATCTTGTCGAGGGACTCTCTGAGGAACTGTTGATGGTACCTTCAGTGGTGACGTCGGCCCCTCGTCCAAATGTTCGTCGTTTCGTAGAAAATTGATTTTTATGCTGAATTTTTTCCCCATGTTCCCCATTGCGGACGACGACCACGACATCTGATGAACGATCATTGCGACTGTTGCTATGAAAACTACGATGTTGTCGTATGCCGCCACTACTACTATCATCATCATTATTGTTGCTATTCGATTTAGGGGTGGTCGCATCCACATGCCTAACAAGCCGTGTCGAAGCCAATGTTGTTGTTGGCGCTTCACCTAAAATTTCTGGTGGCTTAGAGGTGGTAATTTTCGTGGATGTTGCCGCGTGCTGCCTTGCCTGTGGCAGACGTCTTTGTCGTTGGGCCATCTTTGCCGACGTTGCAGGCGACGATGTTGTTGTTGTGGTGGTAGTGCTGGTGGTGGGGGCGGCCGCTGATATACTACTCACGGTTGTGGTGGTGCCAAGACGACGTCTCAATTGTGGGGGCCTTGGTAATGATGGTGGCACTGGTGTTGTTGTTCGTACGAAAGAAAATCTAGTTCGCCCAGCGAATTGATTGCGCCTTGCAGACGATGATGATGGTGTTGAGGATGTTACTTCCACGGCCGATGCTGTTGTTGTGGCTAAGGAGGTTGTTGCCAACAATAACAACAGCGACACCATTAAAAGTGGAAGTAGTTTTTGGAACAAGTTTAAGGCCAACGACTTCATCTGAAATTAGAAAGGGTGGAGAAGACACAAACAAAAAAAAAAATTATGAATTTTCACGAACAAAAATAATTTGAAGAAAAAAACATTTGACTGAAAAAAACTATAAATTATATAATGCATTTTATTAAGTCATGCTCTTTTCCGTGATAATACCAATTTATTGTTGTTGTAGTTTTTGTTTTTATTGGCAATTTTTTATGTGTTTCTGGTTAGCTAACGGTTATGGCTTGGTTGGTTAAGCTATTTGCTGACGTAGCTGTGGCTTCTTTTTTCTATGTCATCATCTAAGCCTGAATGTTTGTTTTTGTGTGCAAATGTGCATCCAGCGTTAGCCAAAAACGGAACAGTGGTATGGGGTTTGGAAAATATTTAACACTAATATTGTCCTTAAGAAATACATTTTATTCTATAAAAAGTTGTTTTATTAATAATAACAGTTGCTAGAGGTTTGGTGCCCTAGAATGTGTCTTAATTTTTTCTCCTATAAAAATTCAATACCCAGATTAATAAAAAGTCTTTGTAAGGAAAACAGTCAGTACTCCTATGACATTTTATTATGGAAAAATACTGTTTTCTGAGAAAAACATACGTTCTTATAGGAAATAGAATTTCTTTTCTCCCGACAAGATTTTTTCTATATAAGAATTTACCGGAAAAAGATAACATAAATGAACATTCGTTCAAATGAACAAAATGAAAAAGTCGTCATGAACTAGAAATGTCTCTGTAAAAAAAAACAGTTCATGCAGGACCGAAGGATTTTTCAGTAGAAACCAGTAAGGAAAGTAGTAAAGTCGGACTGGACCGACTATATGATACCCTTCACCACTTTGGGTATATTCTACAAAGTCACCTAATAGACTTTTAGGAAGAACATTGACATGAAGTTGAACGAAAAATATATAAGAACTTTGGTGCACCATTTACCTAAAATCGGGCGAAAATATATATGGGAGCTATATCTAAAACTGACCCGATTTTCACGAAACTTTACGTACTTCATTCTAGGCCTACTTCAATATGCTATGCCAAATTTAGACACTTTGGTTGAACACTTACCTTAAATCGGACGAAAATATGTATATGGGAGCTATATCTAAATCTCAACCGATTTTTCCCAATTCAATAGGGTTCGTCCTTGGGCCAAATAAATGAGCTGTGCCTAATTTCATCCAAATCCTGTACTTTGTTTACAGTTTAACATCAACTGACGGACGGACGGACATGCATAAATCGACAGAAAGTGATTCTATACATATCCTCAAAAGGAACCATGTGTTCACGTAGCAAACATGGTTTTTAAATAATAAAGATAGTGAATGTCTTGCTGTGGGTCTCTTGTGTAAAAGAGAGAATATTTAGTGAAACAGGGATCTATTTTTGTCTACAGTCCACTTGTGATAAGAGATTATTTTGGTAAAATGTTTGTACACATTAATAAGATAGGAGTTTTCTATTGCCACATGTGGTATGTTTGGGTGAGATTACGGGGAGTAATCGTCACTACAGACTGATAAGCATGTGTAGCGTGCTTGCCACATGTGCAGGGCTGCCATATTTGCCGATTTATCGGCATTTTGACGATTTTTCACTCTAAAAATGGAAAATGCCGATTTTCCGATTTTTGCCCCAGAATTGCCGATATTTCAACAATCGATACAAATTGTCTAACTTTTTAATTTAATACGGCGTTACCATACAAACATATAAAATTGGCAGCTTTAGATCATCATAACTATCGGCGACACGCCGCAGCCGTTTTCAATGGCTTAGATATCTGTATTTTTTGTCAGCATTGTACTCTGTCTAGTTTACATTTTACATCATGGGCACGATCAATTTTTTAGAATATTGTTACGTTCTTGGATTTCACTTAAATCCCGTGTAGACGTTGTTTTATTTCCCGATACAATTCGTACCAAATAAAACGCAGGTTCTTTCGGATTACGATTATTACAATGATTTTATTCACACAACTTTACTTTGCACTTTACTTTACACGACGGTTTCAATTCGCGATCTGATTCACAACTGACTCACTGCCTTTCCATTTCCTCTATTTATATGCCCCATTCCTGTCGCTACAGAAGTTTCTAGACGATCTGGTAACGCCTAGATTACGAACAATATACCAATGCAACAAACACATACAAACTTAAACATGTTTACTCAATGTAAGTTTGTATGTGTTGTTGTTATTGCAATAACAACAACACATACAAACTTACATTGAGTAAACAATAACAACAACACATATACAGGCGAGGGGGTAACAAAGAAAGAGGAATTAAGCGATCATTAATGATGACGTTTAACAAGAATTGTACGACAATAACAAAATAGAAAATGGAAGAGGAAATGGAAGGATGTAGAAAAATCTATACAGTAGTTGTTGTTGTGAAGTTATTCGAATAAACTGCGTAGTAGAAATTTACGTTACAATTCAAATTCTTAAATTAACGGAATTCATCTAAATTAACTTAAATCTAAAGTTATATTCGTAACAATATGATGAAGTATATTTGGGTTTATATGCAAAAGATATTGTTTCAGAAACAAAACTTCCCAAAAATGACATAGACAAAATAGTTAGCACTTGCATTAATTTTCATATAGAACTTGAAAACCAAATATTAAAACGTTTTGATTTTAATTTAAATTCGTTTAAATGCTTAAAACTTATTGATCCTGGAAGAGTAATGAAGTAGGGCAATAATTCTTTTCTAGATATTTTAAAAGAATTCCCCGATTTTATTTTTGAAACTGAGAGGCAATCTTTAGACTCCGAGTTTAGGGAGTTTAGCTTTCTGAATTTTGAAGAAATTGTTGAAAATGCAGAATATAATTTAAAAAGTTTTTGGAAAAAAATTTCCGAAATTAAATGTGGGGACTCCAATTTAGCTTTTCCAGTTTTGTCTAAATTTGTACAAAGAATTATGGTTCTTCCACACTCCACAGCAAATGTGGAACGAATTTTTAGTCAGGTAAACCTTAACAAAACTAAAATTAGAAGCTCACTTGAGAATGATTCATTGGAAGGGATTCTTTATTCTAAAGATTACCTCAAACTAAATAATTCAAATTGTTTTAATATCAAAATTGATAATGAATTACTAAAAATGTGTAATAAAAATATGTACTAGTTTGTAAGTTATTTTTATGACCTTAATACCACACTGCGTTATACGTAAATCTGAAAGATCTCACTAGTGTACATAATAATTACTATATTTTAGAAAAATCTAAATTTTTTGTAGAAAAATGAATCTTTTATGTTATTTTTTATACAGAATTATTAATGTAATAAACAATATTGATTTGTTACAAACCAAAAAATATGAATTTATTTATAAATTATATGCTGCCGATTTTTTGCCGATTTTTAAAAATACAAATGCCGATTATGCCGATTTTTTTCTGAAAAATTTACGATTTTTCATGAAATTTAACTGGCAGCACTGCACATGTGTGATAACGAATTGTGTGTGTCCACTCCATGTGTTATGGCAGATGCACTCTCTCTCTCTCTTTTACACATTATTCTAAGATAGGTTAAGTCATATTTTAATCATTAGTTCTTAAGGATCATTTTTAATGTTAATAAATTAGTGTGTAAATGCACCACAAACAATACAGTCGTGCTATCACTCCGCGGACAGTATCCGCGTAAGATCCCTAGTTTTTCACCATGGGTTTATCTCGTTTCCTTTTGCGTGTTACAAACATATGCACAAAGACATAATACCCTGTACCATAGTGTGGTGAAGGGCATAAAAATAATTTGTACATAACAACGGATTTTTTTCTTTCGCACAGGAAGGACAAGCTTTCTATATCAAACAAAATAAACCATCCTTTAAGGGCTTGCCACTAAAAATTATTATTAAAATTGTTTTTGAAATTATCATTAAATTGTTTGGAGGCTATGTAGAACTATGGACATGGAATGTTCCACGAGCCCGGAATGCCAAAATACAATCACTTCATGACACTAAAATATAGTCATTTACCTATATATCGGATTCTTGACCGATATGGACAAAATTCATAAAAAAATCTACTCTTAAAACAGTCCTTGAAAGAATTTTATTTAAAAAATGCACCCTTATAGTTGTACATAAAAATATATTCATCTAAAAATCCACTCTTCGAGCTATGATAATTCCTTAAAAAATCATTATTGGAAATCCCCCATAGCCACTCACAACCACTGTTTGCTGTAACTGTAAATAACAACAAAATAATTGTACCAATTGATGGTTAGTTGCTGTTAGTACAGGTGCTAGATATACTAGCTGGGGTTCATTTTGGTTGCTCGTGCCGCTCTGTCTGCCATCGGACAGACAGCTAGATGGACAGACACGACATACACGTTGATGGTAATTAGTTGCAACGATGAGCAAGCTATGCTATCATCATCGCTGACTGCATGGCTAGCTAACTTGACTCTACTAAACATTTTAAATAGCTGATGAGTTGTTGCCATTACGTTTAAGCCTGTTTTCAATTAATGTTGTTTTTGCTTGCTGTTGATGATTTCTTGTTGTTGTTATGTTTACATTTGTGGTGTCGTTTTATTTTTGTTGTTGTGTGGAGATAATCGATGTTACGTCGTTCGTACATCCATAATTGTTTGATTAGGGAGAAGCAGCAGCACGTGCTCGTTTCTTAGATTGTTGGTGGTGGTGGGGTTGTTGTTTATACCCTACACAACTATGTTGTCAGGGTATTATAGCTTTGTGCAGCCCCAAAAGTTTGTAACGCCGCGAAATATTGGTCCTAGACCCACCTTTAAGTATACCGATCGTCATATCTCGACTAGCTGAATCGATCTAGACATGTGTGTCCGTCCGTCCGTCCGTCTGTCCATTATAATTTGTAAACACGATACAGGCCACAGTTATGGTCCAATCTTCATGAAATTTTGCATGTAGGATGGGTTCTGGCCAATGAAGACCCCTATTGTTTTTGGGAAAGATCTGTTAATATTTAGAGGATGA